CTCTGTTGGAGTTGTGACTCTAGTTTCCTCCTGTAGCGCTGCTTCGCCTCTTTCACCGCCTTCCGCACGTTATATGACGCGGCTTTGTACGGGTCCATGTCCCCCGTTAATGGCATTCTACTTAGCATTAATTCCTCACTAGTATAACGCTAATTCACATCAATTTAGCTTTAGCTGCTAGCATCAGCCAACTTAGAACTAACTGCAAACATTGTTAAAATGGAAGGGAAAAGTGTTAGCATCATTGGGTAATGCTAACTCACATCAAATTAGCATTAGCTAATAAAAGGAGCCTTCTTAGCATTAGCTCCTCACATTGTTATAATGCAAGGGGAAAGAGTTAGCATTAATGATCATGCTAAGTCACGTCAAATTAGCATTAGCTAGTAATGGCAGCCTACTTAGCATAAGTCCTCACATCGTTATAATGCAAAGGAAAATAATTAGCATTATTTAATAACGCTAATTCACATCAAATTAGCAATAGTTATTAAGGGTAACACACATCACATAGTTAAAATTGAATGAAAAATAGGATAAGCATTAGATAATCATATTGTTAAAATGTAAGAAAAAACATTGTTAGCATTAGCAGATAAATTAGCATTAGCTAATAATGGCAACCTACTTAGCATTAGCTGCTAACATTGTTTTAATGCAAGGGAATATGGTATTAGCATTAGTTGCCAATGCTTATTGACCTAAAATTAGCTTTAGCCACTAATGGTAGCCTATTTAGCATAAACTTCTTAATGCTAAATAAAGTTAATTAATGCTAAATAGGCTTAACTGAAATGAAAGTAGTGTTAGCATTAGCTGCTGCTATTGTTAAAAAGTAATAAAAGTAAGATAAAAAATTGCTAGCAGAAGCGGATAATGCAAACGCACATTAAATTAGCATTACCTAATAATGGCAGCCTTCTTAGCATTAGCTGCTCATATTTTTATAATGCAAGGGAAAAGAATTAGCATAAACGGATGATGCTAATTCAGGTCAAATTAGAAAATATAGTATTAGCATTAGCTGCTAATGGTTATTCACCTAAAATTAGAATTAGCCACTAATGGCGTCCTATTTAGCATTAACTATTTATATCGAGGGAAAAGTTAAAATTGAATGAAAAGTAGTGTTCACATTAGCTACTCATATTGTTAAAAAGTAAGAAAAAACATTGTTAGCATTAGCAGATAATGCTAATTCACCTCAAATTAGTATTAGCTAATAACGGCAATCTACTTCGCATTAGCTGGTCACATTGTTATAAAGCAAGAAAATATGGTATTAGGATTAGCTGCCAATTCCTATTCACCTAAAATTAGCGTTAGCCAGTAATGGCAGTCTACTTAGCATTAAATCCCGACTAATATAATGCTAATTCACATCAAATTAGCATTAGCTGCTAGCATCAGCCTACCTAGCACTAGCTGCTCACATTGTTAAAAGTGAAGGGAAAAGTGTTAGCATTATTGGGTAATGCTAGCTCGCATCAAATTAGCATTAGCTAATAACAGTGCCTTCTTAGCATTAGCTGCTCACATTATTATCATGCAAGGGAAAAGAGTTGGCACTAACGGATGATGCTAAGTCACATCAAATTAGCAATAGTTATTAACGGTAACACACATCACATTGTTAAAATTGAAGGAAAAATAGTATAAGCATTAGCTACTCATATTTTTAAAATGTAAGAAAAACATTGTTAGCATTAGCGGATAAATTAGCATTAGCTAATAACGGCACCCTACTTAGCATTAGCCGCTCACATTGTTAGAAATCAAGAGAATATGGTATTAGCATTAGTTTCCAATGCTTATTCACCTAAAATTAGCATAGCCACTAATGGTAGCCTATTTAGCATTAACTCTTCACATCGCAGGGGAAAAGTTAAAATTGAATGAAAAATAGAGTTCACATTAGGTATCATATTGTTAAAAATACGAAAAAACATTGTTAGCATAAGCGGATAATGCTAATTCACCTCAAATTAGTATTAGCTAATAACAGCAACCTATGTCTGTGAAGGTTCTCAGTCATCCAGGTCATCGTAGTCAAAGGAGTTTGCAAAGAAAACCATCTGGACTTCTTTAAGTTGCTTGAAGACGTTTCACCTCTCATCCGAGAAGCTTCTTCAGTTCTAAGGTCAAATGGCCGAGAGTCCCAGATTTAAACCCAGTGGGAGTTTCCCCCCAAAGAGGGACAAAGGACCCCCTGATGATCCTCTAATC